AATCTAAGGACTTTTGCCTAGGTTTTTTCCAGCTCTAAATGCTCAAGACTATGATTTTCTGCTCTCATTTAAATTATATGCCAAGATACATAAAGCAATGAAAGACATTTCAGATATATAGTTGAAAAGTTTAAATGGTCATTAATCGTTTCCCAAAGGTCACACATATGATGATTAAATTATTCTTAGAAGGATGCTAATGCAGAGATGTTACATGATTTCCTGATAGCCACCAGTAATATTCATTGTTAGAGACTCATGTGAATGATGAGGATACCTACTTGTTCCCAGCTCTGTTACCTGGTTTTCAAATTACTGAATTGTGGGTCTTCTTACTCACAATGTGTGATTTCTCCATCAGTCTGTTTGAAGCCAGCAAATGCTTTATGAATGCTTATCTGAATTAGCAACACTAAATGAAAGTCATATTTTCAAAATTAAGTCCTGAGACAAAGGAAATATAGGTTTGAATTTGAAGCCAAGAAATACAGGCCCAATCAAAAAATCCCTTAATTGAACATTTCATGGAAGTGCAAGGAAATCACCACAACAGGAACTTTGAGATTTTCACCCTTGGGGTGGTAAAGCTCAGGCAGACAATGAACTGCTTTATTGACAAAAAGAGTCAAAAGAGAAAGGAAATCTCAACTTGTGAGAGGTATAGTTCTATGTGGGAGTTCTTTTTATATAATAAACTACAATATCCAGATGCTTTTTGAAAACCATTCCAAGGACATAATTATTGCTGATATGTTACATTCAAGGTAGGGAGTACGCTCTAGAACCCACATCAAATATCCCAGAAAGCCTCTGAGTTCATAAATCTTATAGTTTCAGTTGTTAAGAAAATATGGTGAGGCAGAGGGGATGCTCTTAGCATGGTGGATTCATTCCTGGAGGATATTCTTGTCCTTTTATTTTTTCTTTTTCTTTTACTTGTTTGAGGATATTGATAATCTAGGAATAGAAAGGAATGCATTAAACAGACCCTCAGTTTTCCAATCTGCCCCTGTCTGACTGTCCCATTTGTGTCTGAAACCCATCTTTCAGTTCTCAGCCTTCACTAGCCTAGGCAACCTCAACTCCCTTTGATGAAGTGCTAGTGGTAGATGTGCCCTGCTTTGAGCTTGTGTTGTTTGGTATTGATTTTGAGGAAGTATTTGAAATCAGTACTTTGAGATGATCAACTCTGAATCATATGGGCATGGATTTGAGAAAGATCATTAGATAGAATTATCTTACTGCTGGGCATCCATTTTGTTTGATGAGTGTGATCTGATTTGGACCAAAGGTGTCATAAACGGTCATGATTTGGGGAGGTGGTCCTCAGTGTGAGTGTAAGAATGGGCTCTGGGTCAGCTCTGCATATGGCAATTATGATCTTAGGGCACTTGGTTCCTGAAGGTTTATGTGGCTTAAAACCCTCAAGGCTATGGAAAACCAGATTTTCAAGAAAGCAGTCTATTAATCAGCAAGGTAAACACTGAATGTCCCCTAATACAACTAATAGGGGAAGAACCTCCAAGCAGTGCTAAAAAATCAGTAACTAAAGACATCCTCCCCCTCCCCTTTATTTCTTCCTTCTCCATGGAACTATGCAATGTAGTGGCCTTGAGCTTAGCTATGCTAACGAAGCCTGGAAATTTATCTTTATTAATCCCTTTATTAATACCAATTTCCACCTCTATCATCTTGGTCCAGGGCTTCACTCCTCATATTTTAGTACCTAAAAACACTTTTCTAACTCATGTCTCTGTGTTTGGGGTCTCTTAAAATCGATTGCAAAATATTTTTTCTAAATTATGTGTTTCAGAGTATTCAGATTTTTTTTTTTTTCCTGTAACTCAGAAGACTTCTCACTGAACGGAAAGATCATGTAAGGAAAGTCAGGAGACCAGGCTTCAAGTGTGCCTCAAGTGTGACAATTCACCGGAAAAGGGATGTTCTTGCACAACTCACTTTATCTCCCTGAGCTCTACTTCCTTGTCCACAGAGGGCACAACAGCACCTGAGTATCATTTTGGTGATTATAACTGAGATAATAGGTATGAAACCCCAATGTGTTATATTATTTTTGAATTCAGCAAGAGAAATGGACCTATCAGTAGACTAACTCACATTTATTGACCACCTGCTAATGTGGCAGATGCTGTTATGGATACAATATGTCATCTAATCCTCAGAACAGCCCTATTTTATAGCTTGGGAAATCAACAAAAGTGAGATTAGTAACAATTTCGAGCGGCAGAATTGGGTTGTGAAATCAGAAAGTATGGCCATAGAGATATTCTGTGAAGAAAAAAAAGAGGGGGAAAGGGAAGGAATCACTCCTGAAAATAAATTTCTAAATGGTTGTTTTTCTACCAACAATTATCTATTCAGAAATTCATATGTTTAATGAAGATTTATGGATATATAATATGTTTTAGGCATCCTCCTAATTCTTAGAAATTCAAGAAAAAGTAAATGTAATTCTCAAGGAACCTCAAGGGGCACATGGTGCAGATATGGGCAGAAATCCATGAACAATGTGATAAGGCTTATAAAGTGCCCTCAGGGGACTGAGGGGTGCTCAGTCAGGCTTAGTGGGGTCGGGGAAGGTATCCTGGTGAAAGTGATACTAGAGATGTGTTATAAAAGACAAGCAGGATTTAATTAAGCACTCATTGGCAAGTGGAGCCATTTTAGGAAGAGAGAACAGTAAGTCCGTAATCAGGATGGTGAATAGAATATACAGGGAACAAACAGACCACAACTGCTAGAATGTGATCCCCTGTGGCTGGCCAAAGACCTAATTTAACCCTTCACCACTGTATGCCTGGAACTTCTTATTAAGAATGGAGGTCCTAAAAGTAAGAAAAAGTTTCTGTTTTGGTCACTATTATCTCACCAGTGACTGGAGGTGCTCAATAAATGTTTGTTAAGTATATATATTCATGTGAATAGTATGTGCTATCAATTTATGAACTCTTGTTGGGTGAATTATTTAATAAATGAATAAACAGAGAGTACCACAGCAAAAGAGAATGGGTAAATCTCTAGCTTGTCTATGTACCTTGCATCAAACATTAACCCAGTCACCATCAATCAAATTAACTGGAGTAGGATAATAAGGAGCCTTGGGTGCCAAGCACCTACATTTAAACTTTATCTTAATGGTAATAGGAAAACACAGAAATACCTCGGGTTGAAGGAGAGTGACATGGTCAAACAGCATGTCAAAAAGATCACTCTGGTGGCAGTTTGGAGAACAGTTTAGCAAGAAGCAACCACAGATGGAGAGACTACATGGGTTATACAGAGTTCTCTCACAGGAGGCTCTAACATGATATAGAACAGAGAAAAGAAAAGTAAGCTTCTAGATCAAGGTTTACTCCCACTTTTAACCAATCAGCTTTTGGATAACATCAAATTGAGAGACCGATGATGTGGAATGTATCTCCCCCAAAAGGGTTCAGACTGGCTTTTTCCAAATGTCCAGAATAAGCCTTTTCCAATATGTGTACTTTGGCAGGTGGAACTAAGGTCAACTGGAACCTATAGGCCTCTGGAGAAATTGCTATCATTACTTAAAGAATCATATTACCTAGATTTAGAGATATCTCTGAAAACAACCCTTTTTTATTGAAAAAGTCTGTCTAAAGGCAGGGCAAACATCTAGAGGCAAGTTCTAGTCATATGAAGTCATGTAAAACCCTCTCCTCTCCTCTTTCCCTGATGCCCCAGGTCTCTGAGTACAGGAAATAGACCCCCATATTGCCCCTTTCACTTTAGAATTTACATATGTATATTATTACATTTGGTCTTTTTTCCCTATTTATCTGCCCAATGTTAATTTGTTTGTTCATACAGATTCAGAAGAACTCAGAGGGTATTCTTTAGTGAATGTTGACTGGAATATCAGATTTAGGATTTGATCATGGTTTGTCTCTAAGGTATGGTGTGGTTGTTAGAAAGTTGCTGCATTTTTGAAGGCCCAGGCTTTTCCCTCTATAAAACAAAGAGGTTGACTCAATGATCTAAGAGGTTTCCTCCAGCCCTTCCATTCCAGGATCACTGGGTCCACATCCTTCTGAGTCCTGTAATGATCTTTTAAAATACTCAAGAGAGTTATCTGCATAAAATGTAGATCAGACTCAAAGTGAAATGATTTGGAAGAGAAAGTTCAACTTCAGCCCCTTCGTTTTACAGATGAGGAGACCAACATTCAGCAATGTAACTGAAATGAACAAGGATTTATATTTAGTGTGGGACAGAGAAGAAAATTATCTTACTTGCATTCATTAAAATGAAATTATTTATAATTTATCAAAAAACAGGCAACTTGGGCTTGGACTTGTAGATACTCTCAATCTCAAGTTTCAATCTCTGAATTCATTAATAGTTCCAAAATTATTTTAATAGAATTTATGGCCATTACTGATAAACATCCAACCTCCCAAGTAGTAAATATGAATGTAAACAATATCCTCATGGCATTCTTCCATTTGTTGGACTCCTAGTAAATATTAAATGTTAAGAATACAAAGATTAACAAGAGCCATAGTAATTTCTAACATCTTCCCTATTCTAAACACTATGGTATGCCATACTATTTTCAAATTTCATTGTGTATCCTTAGTTGGAGGGTAAACTTTCATGCAATATCTATTTATCTGTCTGTCTATCTGTCTATCTTAAATGCTATTCAATATTTTTGATTTGAGGCCTCCCTGGTGGTACAGTAGGTTGAGCGCTGTGCTATGACGCTGTCTGCAGCCTCTGCAGCACCGGTTCGATTCCCAGCTGGCCAGGGAGAATCCCACATGGTGAGGCAGACCTCTCCTGTCTCACTCGCTGCTCCCCTCAGCAGTGCCCTTAGTCCATCTGCCTGTTCTGCTCCCTGCTCTGTCTCTGGTGAATTCTCTCACTCTCCCATTAGTCTGGCCTATACCCCAGCTCTTGTATAAATAAAAATAAATCTTTAAAAAAATTTTTTTTTTTGATTTGTCCATGCTTACTTGTTGGATGTCCCATGAAGGTTTGTTAGTATGGTGAAGTTGTTTCTCACACTTCGCAAACTGGCGAGGACCTATAAGGAAAATATTTCAAATAATTAGGAACAAAAGAAGACAAATAGGTATAGTTAGAGGCCACACTCCATCCAGGAACAGAGTGAGAGCAAGACAGGGCTGGTATGATACATACCTGGGCAAAAGGTGTTACAATCAAGTCATCGCCGTGTCTGGTAAAAAGAAAAAAAAAAAAAAAAACAGAAACATTTAAAAATTCATTTGAATTACAGCTGACATATGATAAGGTGTAATATTAAACTTTACTAGTGTTAGCAACACAAGTGTTATACAAGTCAACCTGGACAATCGGTAGAAGTGACAGGCATAAATGAGGATCTCAGGAGTTTGAAATGGAGGACAATAACCACCAGGTTCATGGCTCCTGAATTTACAATAAGGATAGTTAAAAACACTTGCAACTAAGCACTTATCCTGAGGGTATAGTCGCATTCAATAGCAGGCCCAGAGTGCTGTAATATAAAGCGACTTGTGGATTTTGGTTTCCAAGCCAGGAAATGCAAAGGGAGGGCACAAGGCACACAGAGAGCTGGAAAAAATGGCATAACAGTCTGGATAAAGGTTAACTTTGGATTTCCTGGCTTTTGTTGATTTGAACCACAGCCTTAATGCTATTTAAACACAAATTTCTGTCTGGGAATCCCATTACTTTTTGTTTTCAGTATAACTTTTTTTCTTAAAGTATCAAGGAAAAGTTGAGTGAACCCTTTATTACCATATCATTGTTGCACATTTCATTCCAAAGACCTGACTAAGCTGGACTAGAGTTATGTAAATTTGTACTTAGGAGAGGTTAGAAGTGTGTTTTCAGAAATGAAACCTTGCTTCAGCACATGCTTCAATGAATCTACTCGAGCCCACATTTAGCAAACTCTCCAATAAAATCATCAGAAGACATGCTGGCTTGAGCTGCAAACACAAAATCAGATCAATCTGCTATCAGGTTGTGAATCATAGCAGCAGCACAGAAGTTAGTTGACAATGAGTTTCCTTCACTATGTGATTTATCTTCTCTGTCCTCAGGATCACCACCCAAATATGACTTTCCACTGGTTAATTAACCACATGACCATTATTAAGCCCCTGCCCAATACTAGGCCTGGGGATCCACAGGTGACTGATATATATGTCTAGATGGGTCTCTCCTCTAGCACAGGCATTGACAATATTTTCTTTTCTACCTTTGTCTTTGGCTAGAAGTCCCCTTTCAATTCATTCTAGCAAACTTCTTGCACATCTACTTTGTATAATTAAGAATATGATACTGATAAAAGTAAGCATTCTTTTGTGATTGCTATGTGTCAGGCCCTGTGCTAAGCAGAAATGAGGCAGGTTTTCTTAACATTCTCATTTTATAGATGCAATCAAGGGTCAGAGTAGGCAGCAACTACTTAACTAGTACAAAGCTACTAAGTAGGAAAACAGATACCGTACCATTTGATTGAAGAAAACTATGTTTTTAACCATTATATTTTATGATGATAAATTAACTTATAGAGAGTTCATGACCCCCTCAAAATAAAATATATTAAGGGGGACAAATAATATTCAGAGCACAATGTAGATGTTATATATGTGAAATGAAAGATTCAAACAATGACTGCTTACCAGGGGACAAAAGAGAGGTGATAATTAAAAGATTAGAAGAAGCAGGAAAGGTTGGATTGAGTGGGTAGCATTTGAGATGAACTTTGAAGGGCAGTTTTTCAAAGGTATGGACAGTAGATGTTACCAATTTAGAGAAACAGCCAAGAACAAAAACATGGAAATGGGTAAGTACTCAACACATTTTCTACATGTTTGGTGGCTGAGCATATTAATTACATTTGTGGAGAATAAGACCAAGGTGTGGATTGTAAGGAGGTGCTTGACTCAGTAAGAAGAAATGAGGCAGTGAAGATTTTTAGTGAGATGGACAAATAGAAAAGTGCTTTAGAAAGTAAAGTGCCGTGGACACCAGACCAGCATAGGGATTAGAGAGAGGACAGAACTGGGAAGATTAATTAGGGGAATAATGTAATCATTTAAATGAGAAGAAATAGATGAGACAGAGGAAGAAACTGGAAAAGACTAGAAGAGGCTGTAGACACCTTTCTTAGATAGAATTCAGCATTTAATTGGAGAAAGGGTCATGGAGAAATAAGTTCTGTTCCCCACTCTGTCTCTGGTGAGTCCTCTCACCCCCCCCCCCACTTCTAGCCTGTATCCAAGTTCTTGTATGCATAAATAAATAAATCTTTTAAAAAAATGGGTGACTGGTAATATAATGAAGCCATTAGTAAAAACAACAAAGTGATGAGGAGTAGGGGAGGTGATTGTTCCTTTCCACATGTTGGATTTTATGATACTCATTGATATCCTTATAGAGAGGCCAAGTGGGAGGACCGACACATGAGAATTGCAGCTAGATTTAGGAGATTTGCCTGTGAGAATGGAGATAGTTAAAGCAATGGCAGGGGCTGACATCATCATGAGATGAGAGTATATGGCTAGAGAGAGAACCAAAGGAAGAACCTCAGAGTTTTGAGAGGAGCCGAAAAGAAACAAAACAGATAAGAGGGGAGCAGTGGTGATAAAAGCAGAGCGGTGAATTGTTTTAAGACGTGCTGCTTCCCTAGCTATTTTCTTGATATAACAAGATATGTGAAATATCTTGCTGTTTGTTCAGAATTCCGCTGTGAAGTTTATATTGTTCGTAGCACATAAGGGTCACTAGGGGATAAAGCAGTGGAGTTGGACTTAAGTAGATCTTCTTTGGCCCCTGGGTTTCTGGAGCCCGAACACCCAGAAAAAGTTCAATAAACAAATCTTCTACATATGTAGCACCTATGTACTACATATGTATTGTTGCATGCATTGGGGAGCAAAACTTCACAAACTAGCAATTAAAAGGATATTAATAAACATAAATAGGGCACATATCAACATCACTTTATCATTATAGAACTCTGGAAGTTTAGAACAGAATGTCCAGAAACAAAAGATGGTCTTGCATTTCCCCAGCACAAACTTCTTTGAAGGATTTGAGTTGCAAAATCTAATGCTGTAAGTCATATAATAGCTGCCAGAGAATGATCAGATAATTTATAGGTAATTCATAGTAAGTATGGGAAAAGAAACTAAACAAACAAAAAACCCTCCTACTTAACTACACAGATTGTTTATGGAATTATTATGAATGTTCAAAATCATATACATAATTAGGAAGAAAATGGCATAGAAGTAACAAAAACTTTTGATTGTAAAACTGATGTACTTGTTTTCCAAGCCACTAGAGAGAGCAATGCTTCTCACGAACAGGGCTGGATTATTCAGAATTGTTGTAAGAGCATCATCTAGTGACAAAACTAGTACATTACAATTTTAGAGAATAACCAGAATGAGAACGCTTGAGAGTCTTAGAACTGAGTGAAGGTCTACTCTCAATATTGAAATGGTTTTCTAGAACACAAAAGTGCTACTTCTCATTGCCATCCTCTAGATTTTATCAATCTCTTGCCCTCCCTACACCTGGAATTTTACTTGTATTCTTTTTTTTTTTTAACCAGGAATTTGTATTATTCTTATAACACTGATTTTAGTATATTTTATAGAGGGACATGTACTATTGTGGTTAAGAGCACAGAATTAGAATTTGGAGCCAGACAGCATCATTTTGCTTCCCAGATGCACTATTTCCAGCTATGAGACATTAGGCCTCTCTATGCCTCAATATCTTTACATGTAAATTATGTTGTGAGAATTAATTGCTATATATGCACAACTCATACAATAGTGCTTGGCACAGAAAAGCACTTTAGTTATGGTTTTCTTACTAGTACAAGGTATCATTACTAATTAAAGAATTGTATTCCCAGCTGGTGAGAGTTTCTTTAGGAGTGTGTTTTCCCCCACTGTAATCAAGAGAATTATTATTTATATTCTACTTTACGGTTTACAAAGCATTTTCATACATGTACATTATTTCATGTGATAAGAGGATGTTTGAGACAGAGAATGGTGCAACCACCTACCTTTTTGGTCAAGTCTGAAACTTCCATCTCCACCTCACAATCAACCACTAACTTGCAAATATTTATTAATTGTATATTTGATTTGCTCTAACATAAAGCCCCTCCCTTTAGTATGTGGATTACCAAGGCAGCCTCCCATTTGGCTCTCAGATACAGACTTATCCACCATCCAAATGAATCTTTTTTTTAAAGATTTATGTATTCATGCATACAAGAACCAGAGTACAGGCCGAGATGTGGGAGGGTGAGAGGAAGATTCACCAGAGACAGAGTGGGGAACAGAACAGGCAGACTGACTGAAATACACTGCTGAGGGTAGCAGTGGGCATGGCAGGAGAGGTCTGCCCACAGTGTGGGACCCTCGCCAGTGGCTGAGGATCAAACCAGCGCTACAGAGGCTGTGGGCAGCTTCGCAGCCCGGCGCTCAATCGCTGTGCCACCAGGGGAGGCCCTTACAAGTTGTTTTTTTTTTTTTTTTTTCATCTAAACTCCCTAGATTTAAGACTTGGCTATTTATTGGGTAAGTTACTTAATCTTTGCTCTAGCACCCTAATCCTGAGACAAGAAAACTGTAGTACCAAACACATTGGGGTTATGGGGATTAAATGAGTCAATATATTTAAAAGACTTTAAATAACACATAGCACATCATAAATGCTCAATAAATGTGCTCTGTACAGATAATTTAGACACTATAAAAAAGAGTCAATGTATTAAAGCCATGCTGCTAATAAATATGGTGTTGGTAAGGCTAACTAAAGTCTGAGACTTCAAATTGTACTTTTTTGGGGGGTAGTCCATCAATATACAGTGGGGGAGTTATTAAACTTTTCCTCTTGGTTCTTATGTCTCATTTCCCTTGACTTCTCTCTGAAGACCACTTAGTCCTCTCACAAATAATGGCCTGAAAAATCTCTATCTATAAAGGAACCATGGATCCTCTTTCCCCGCAACTCTGCAGTTTGACAATCAAAACTCAACACTTTCCAAAGTCATTCCTGCCATGATTTTAGGCAACGTAACTAACCTCCCCAGTTTCTAGTACTTTATGTTCCCATGGGGAAATCTGTACTTCTCTGGACTAAGGCATTACGTTAGAGAGGACCGCAACACAGGAACTGAACAGGAAACAAAAAAATATTGCCACATCTAGGAAAACATCTGAAATTTCCTTTTGGGACCCAATGGTGATCTTGTTTTACTTTACTAGAAAGTCTGGTTTCAAGCTCTCCTTTGAGGCTAAAACTTAAAGGTGATTTTAACTTTCTGTTCACATTTTTACTCTTAATATCATTTCATGCTTCCTCCCTGACTACATTTCCTCCTATTTTTCTATAAGAATTCAGGTGAGAGATTGAAAAAGAAAAAGTGTTGTCTTTTACTACTAGAAGTTAATGCGGCTAACTTTCTCTAACGTAAGTGTAACCCCTCAACTAGGGACCTGTCGGCCCAGACCTCACAAAACCCTGTCCAATCTGTTCTCTAGCTGCCCTTATTTGAAGATATTAATATTGTTAATTGACATATAAACTGTTCTGCTGGACATGTGGGCTCATAGGCAGAAAACATCCTGTAGCCCCCACCTGAAGGCCTTCACATCAAGACTCCAGACTATCTCTGCCCCTCTTTTCCTTTGTTCTATGGAAAGAAGGTAAGAAAAGCAGTGAGAGGCTCAGGGACTGCTGTTCCGCTACTTCAGTTCACCCTGAAGAGTAATAATTCAGGAAACAGCTTTGAGAGCATTACTTCAATTTAGGTCAAGATGCCCGTGTGAAACTGGATTTTCTAAAATGGTCCTGATAAAATGAAATACCAGAAGAATCTGGATATTATTCAAGCCCCATTTCTTGTTGTGTTGAGAAATACAAATTTCCAAGCTGACAAATATATAAAAGTTTTACTGCAATACTGAAATATTTGCAAAACAAAATGTTGTGTTATTATTCATTCAAAAAGTTTAATATATCCTGTTATTAGTATCTTTTTGATAGGGTGTTGTTATGTTGCCAAACTGTTTTCTTGGGAAAGACTGTTCTTTTTATGAAAGTGCGCCCTTTCTGCATTTTTTTAATTTTAAAAAGTTTTTTTTAAAGAAACAAAATAATACTAGGTAACTTACATTTACAATCTTTACTTGTCTAAATTTAAAGCTGGCAACACTAAGTAGGTTATAAAGTTAGGGGGAAATTTATACTGGTTGGTAACATTGAAAAGAGAGCAGGGAGTCTGGGATGCAATCATTCCAAACCAGATCTCTCTACCATTAGGTATAGAGTAAGTTGGACTGTTAACTTTAAGGCCTCTCCAGGTTCAAAATTTCTAGAACTTTTTGATTTTGAGTAAGGAATCACCAGAGTTTAATCTGAAATTTGGCTAGAGCCTACTGGGAAGCTTCTGAGTGACCCGGGGACCCATCATGCTTTTTGACATAAATTTGGAGAACAGTTAGCCGTCTTCTAATGCCTAGTCGTTTACTTGTGAAATGCTCTGTGAGTTAAGTTCTAATTGCAGTCAGCTCACCACATTACCTTTTCTCCTTCCCTGGGAAGTCCAGAAAGGTGTTTCTCTTAGGTCAAAGAGAAAATCCTCACACATTCATTGTCAAAGTCCTCCATCCAAGCCTTAGTCAGAAACTCCTGCTTCTATATGACCGACAGCTAAGTGGCCACCTCTCCTTCAGTCTCAGGTACCTCTATTCTGCATTCACTTGTTTTCTATATGGTCAAAGAGATTCTACTTTGCAGTTTGAAGAACATAGATGACAAGAATACAAAAGTTTAGCCTAAGCTGCATCACATGATATAGCACGATATCTAGTCATGGGCTACGGGCAGCTTCTCAATCTCTCTGTCTCGGTTTCATCATCTATAGAGTAGAGATAAAAATGGTACCGACCTGATAGGATTGCTATGAATATTAAAAGAGATCATGAATGTAAATATACCAGCCCCATGGTAAAGGCTCATGAAATGCTTACTTCCACTCCCTAGTAAAGTTATGTGTGCATTCCTCTTAACTTTCGTATTTAATTGTAACCTCTCTGAGAGTATGCAACCTTTTGAAAATATCTACTTTTAACTGGTCTGTGATTTCCCATTGTTTTCTTTATCTCTTATCTCTGGAGGCTGGCACCTTGCATGCCACATGGAGGTTCAGCAAAAATTTGTTGAGTGAATAAATTAATTTTGGCCAATCCAGTGATTGACATATTTTAAGGTAGAGGTGCTTCTATTAAAATCTTCTGGCAGAAATCCCCTGGGGAATATTTTCTTGCTGGTGGATTTAAAATTTCCCTTTCACAAGAGAGTGACCCTCTTTAGCTTCTTTTCCAATAATGGGAGAGAGACCAGTGGAATTTTCCAGGCAAGCCTCTTTAGGGAGCTACTGGTATTTTTATAACATATGATGTTAAAAACAATTGTATGTGTGCCCAGAAACCTTTTAAGGAATGGATTCCAACATCCAATTTTATTTGGTTTCAGAAATTTAATAAACAAGTAACACAACCCAGTCATTGTTCTTTAAATAAAAATTAGAGATCTATAATTAATAGCAGCAAAACAGAAACATCAGCTGTGCTCAATAGGCAGGAGAGTGTGCCATGTCACACCAAGGAGCTAGGCAACAAGTGGGCATTGTGTTAAGGTTCCAGAAAAGGGACATGGACATGTGGCTGGATGACAGCTTATTAAATGTTACCAAGCAAAGTCTACTGAGAAAGGATGCATGTAGCCGATCACCATTTTTTCTTCACTGTAGCTTCATGAAAAACCTACAAGCTGTGGAAGATTCAAGTGTGGTTTGCAAAGAGTGTCAAAGTTTTTATCCCATAACAATTCAGGAGTTCAGGAAATGAGGTCTAATGAAAATTTCCAAAAAAGTATCAACAACAGATGTTAGCAGAACCCTGTGCCTGAGGTTTTTAAAACTCTCAGAGATCCAAGCTACATGGTCTTCTTACTACAGAGCATCAGTCTCCTTGCGGTTAACCATCATTGTCATCTTTGCTCATGTTCATTTCTTCCTCCTGCCTTCCCCTGACTTCAGGGGGGAAAGTTGTCACTGCTGCTGTTACAGGGTTAAAGACCGGGTAAGGTTGAAGCTGGAAGTCAGACAGAGGTATACTTACTGTTCGCTTGGAAGTGAAGAATTTCTTGACATTGCCTTTGGTGACAAGTCATAGTCGCTATCTGATCTGTAGAGAAAGGACTCTCGGCGCTGACTGTGCCCAGGAAAGGTGGCATGAAGCACCAGCCCAGAGGAAGAGCCTGCCTGGGGGTCCAGCGGGCTCCGACCTGGGGAAGGGCCATTTTCTACATCAAAGCTAAAAGACAAAAAGAAAACTCTGGTCACTTGAGAGGCAGAAAAGAAAGCACCCAACATATAGTGAGAATAGTGGGAACATTACACAAAACTTCACATGTTATTGAAGTTTTCATCCGAATTGTGACCATTCTATTCTGTACCAAGGAAATAGTCCCACAGAAGTCCAGGCATTTGCCCAAGTTCATCATTAGCAAATAGGGAACCTAGGACTTGAACCTGGGAACAAAGCCCCCTGGCATGAGCACTTTGATTAATTTAGAGTAAGAACCAACCATAATATAATTTGGTGATAATAAGCAACTCCGGAGAGAACATCTAGCATCGCTCTAGGTGTCAGACACTGAGCTATCACTTGAATGAATTCCTAGCTGGAAGACTTCTTCCTGCCATAAATAAATATCACAGTCTCATTAAAGATACAATATGCATATTTCTGAATGTTTTGGGAACAAAGTCCTTTCCTGAAAACATTCACTGGCTAATTAGATGGGAGACTCAGCCTGAGATTTAATATTCATATGCAAGTTTAACTACAGAAAATGACTTAGTTAATCTGATAATGCCAAATTACCCTTCAGGGATGCAGAACTCCATCTCTGGAAGAGGATATTCCCAGTGGCTCCAGCAGAGGAATACCATCAAGATTTCTGTCAGTCTATCACATACCCCCAGAAGGAACCCAGAATTATTTGAATAAGCTTTGATCAATGAACACAGGTGGGAGAGTAGACACTGTCTTCTTTTCTCTCTCTCCACCCTGGTATGACCTTAGGCACTGTGTCCTTCTCGCCACCTCTGTCATCCCATGTACATTTTCACTGCACAAACTTCCTTACCCTCAGGTTGACAGTAACCCTCCTGTCCATCGGGTCTCTAAACCACTCACTGTTCCCAGCAAAAGTGTTACAGAGAGGTGCTGCAGAAGGTTAGAGGCTGGGATGTAACAGTAGGCTTCCTCTAAACTCACCCATCACCCATCTGCCATAATTTATCTCTACATTTGTGGTTTTTTCTTTCGATTAGTTGTTACAACCTGTTCTCTTGGAGTGCATTTTGCTTATCTTTCTTTAGTTTTACAAATTGCTTTCCTAATGATTATTACATTTACATCTCATAATAACCGTGTAAAGGACATACATAGCATATCCCACTCTACAACTAGGAAGATGATGCTGGGGGAGGTGCAGATATCTTGCTTAAAGTCATAGGTCAGCAGCTAGCAGAGTGAGAATTGCAAGACTCAAGTCTTCCTAATCATTTCTCTACAACCACAGACTTCCCTAATTGCCAAGTTCCAGAGTGGCTCACAGAGTAACTACACGCAATTTCCCCCAGTCTCTGGATTTATATAAAAGTTGTGGTTGGTACATAAAGGGTTGGTCAGATCATGAGCAACTTTGGCTGTTACCTTGAATGAAACAGGGGAGGCAGCAAATTACCCTGAAACCACAGGTTTACTTGAAACAGGCAAAGAAGACAGGACAGAATGCAGAGTTATGATGGTTCCCCAGAGACCATTCTGAAAAGTTGCTTTTAGCCATCCCACAGATACCAGGTGTCTGATAAGAAGCATCAAGTGAGAATTTCTGGTTAAAAGCACAAGGAAGAGCCCTAACAATCCAAAAAGTATTTGGACTTTAAGGCACTGCAGATGGATTTTCACAGCAGGCTAATGGTCTGGGATGGGGCTGCCTTTCAAAGACTGCAGGTAAGCAGGCAGGTGGGCAATCACTCACACATACCAGTCTGTTTGCCAGCCTGCCTGGAGGTAGAACTATGTTGTAAGCCAAATATGTTGTGGCAAGTGAAAATATAATGAAAGCTGACTCGTGAGCTTTCCCTGGGTGAGATCTATACTAGTTCAGCAAAATAAAGAGCTCTTTTGTGGATAAGGGCTCCTTTGTGCACCCAGATCCTGTAGAACCTGTAGGTCCTAATGGTGGCTCTAATTCTTCTTAAGGATGAAGAGGTTATAGGTTCTTAAAAGGTGAAGATGAGACTACACAAAGCCTAAGAGTGGACATAAGCTTTGAAATTTCAAAAACACGGAAATATTTTGTAATAGTTGACATCCAGCCACTGCCTAGGTCCTCCAAAATCTGTTAAGCTTCATAGTGACCAGTAATTGAACAGCTTGTTGTCTGGAACAACAGGGAGACTCTAGCTTCAGCACTATGGCCTGTGTCCATTTAATAGGCCAGTGCCTATGTGGCAGCGGTTATTAAACGAATATCACTGCTGTGGGTATCTGTGCTAAAATCTTAAAATAGGTGCCAAGTGGTCGTGCCACCAAGCTCTTAGGACTCTGTCCATTGAGGGTTTCTACCAGGGTCACCCTGCCTTCTTTTATGCTAGAGGCATTCCTGTTGGGCAAAAAAGCAACTCTACAATCACCACGCTAAAGTGATGTTGCAAGGCATTCTGCCTCCAGTGTTAGTAGCCAGAAGTCTGGTCCTGCCAGGAGAACAGGGATAAGACCGACAGCAACTCTGTCTCCATTATGCTCTTCCATGGTTTTGTTCGCTTTCTTCTTTACCCTGCCTAAACTCACAGAAGAACTGCTGGAATTCAGAAGAAGCTAGGGAAGAATTCTCAGGGTGCAAAGTAGCAGACAAATGGCCTTTCATATCCCCTGGGGCATGTTTCAAAGCAACCAACACAGATGTATGACTTAGGAACAAACATGAATCACCAACCAGACACCAGTCCCAGTCAAAGCAAAATTAGCGGGCAGACATCACAATACATCCCACAGATCTAGGGCGGGAGGAGGGGTTGTGGGCAAGGGAAGACTGAGGACAGACTTCACAAGCAAAACGAATGTATCACACTAACTGAAATATACAGTTAGGGAGACCACAAAATCCGAAATCCAGAAACAAACACATGTATAATGTCATTATTTATTTAGGGAAATTTTTGTCTCTGCCTTAATCAGAACATACATTTCACAACTTAGTTCTCTTTATATTAAAAAAAAACTTCATGAAAATAATGTGAGAATGTTATATAAGACATTAACAGTAGAGAAAACCCCCCCACAGTATCAGCAATTTAGGTTTTTTCTTCTGAATACATATACATATATTTTTTTATTCATGTAGGTTTGGATCTTGATTGTTTCTGAAAGTAATTTTTATGTATGGTACAGTTTCCAGAATTATAATTTTCCATGGGCTACATAATGGTTCATCCAGAAACTGGACCATACTTTTCTTATGTATTTTTCCTACCACTGGCCATAATATTTATGATTTTAAGTAATGCTGCAATTGATATCTCTGACCTTCAAGCCACCCTCCATTTGACTCTGTCTACTTCTCCCTGTGTGCACTGACTGTCCTGAACTGAATCAATTGCTTGCTGTTTAAGACTTAATTTTTATGTTTTTATTGAGGAAATATTGGTTTATATCATTGTATAGTACTTAGAGGTATAGGATTACTCCCTCCAGGTGTTTTTACCTATCACGCCCGCCACCAAAGTACACACAGTCCTCCACCATTTCCATTGTGGCACCTCCCCACTTTGCTCTCTCTCCTCCTCTGAACCTTCCTGCAGACACATTTCTATGGTCAGATTTCTAGGATGTCTTAATGGTTTGACTTTATCTGATCCTTTGTTTTGTTCCTCAGTATTCTATACATAAGTGACAACAACCAATATTTGTCTTTCTTCTTCTGACTTATTTCATTTAGCATCATCCCCATCCAGTTCCATCCACATTGTCCCATTGGAAAGTTTATCTCTTTCATAGCTGAGTAGATCCCATTGTGTATATATACCACATCTTCTGGATCTACTCATTTGCTTTTGGCCACTTACGTTGTTTCCGTAGCTTGGATATTTTAAATAGTACTGCAAAGAACACAGAAGTGCATATATCCCTTTGAGTTAGAGTTTTTAAATTCTTTGGGTGATGCCTAAGAGTGGAATTGCTGGATTAGGTGGTAGATCAATTTTTAATATTTTGAGAAATAGCTATATTGCTTTCCATAGGGGGTGGACCAGTCTACATGTCCACCATCAGTGTATGAGGTTCCTTTTTCTCCTCATCCTCACCAACACTTGTTGTTTCTGGGTCTTTTTTGATATAGACCATTTGCACAAGTGTGAGGTGGTATCTCACTGTGGTTTTGACTTGCAATTCACTGATGATAAGTGATGATAAACATTTTTTTCATGTGTTTGTTGCCCATCTGTATATTAATATCTAATTTTTAATGACCTCCTGCTGCTTTGTATCTAGAATTCTTAGCTCCTGGAAACAGTGGTGGTAGAGAGTGATGTGTGAGAACTGTTTCCCTGGAACTGGAATAACCTTCCCATGATTGTCTCCAATATGTCACTATCTTCAAAATTCAGCTCATATCATCTCTTCTGTTAAGTTTTTCTCTGACATTGCAGTCCTAGTTCCATTTATATTCATGCTCATCCTCCATGTTTCCCTGGACTCCTTTACTGCAGTTCTTATATCTTTCCATTTTATTTTCCATGCGTTTAACTTCTCATCAATAGATTGTTATCGCCAAGATTTCAGGGACCCAATATTACTCATTTTTGTATCCCATGCAGCTGGATAGCTGGATCAGAGCCTTATAAATATTGCTGAGCCAATGAAAAAATACAGCAATTTACTGTGAAATGTTTCTCCTATACTTTCCCTCTTCCTGCTTCTCTACCCTCATCTTAAACCCTGTGGGCATAGGTTTCTACTGTTTCCTTTAATGAGTCTAAATAGATGTACATAGATTTATTTGATAAGCCTTTAAGGCAGTGATCTAAAAATTAAAAAATAAAAGATACAAAGCAGTGATCTGTGCTTTGTATCTAAGGACACTGCTGTGTCCTCCCTGAGTTAAACATCTCAACAATACCTACAGCCCTCGGACCAACTTGTCCTCCCTTAATTAAACAAACATGCATAGGGAAAAAAAAATCACTGGCTTAGATGCTTGAAATGGTGACATCGTCACAGAAACAAATGCCCAGAATGGG